TAAAATTCAAAAATTTCTCTTTTAAAACTTTTAAAACACATTTCTCATCATATATAGTTATCACCAAACCAACTTATCACACATGTATAACCAGTCATCATCATACATATACATGGCATACTTACACATTCTAACCTAAAGTTTACCATGAAATCCACATCCAACATCAATAATAAATCCATCATCAAAACATCATAAATCCATCACCAAACATCAAATTTTTAACATCAACATAAACTATCATAACTACATATTTCATGGCTTAAACAAACTCATAAAATAAACATGAACATTTAAATTTTTAAGGCATAAATAAAGCTAAATAAAACCTACTTACAATGATGTGTGTTTGGTTAAGATTTCTTAGCCTTTTCTTCTTTTTCTCCTTCCTTTCTGTTCTTTCTTTTTCTCCTTTCTTTCTTCCTTTTCTTTTTCTCCTTTATTTCCTCACAAAACCATCCCCCTCTCTCCTCTCTTTGAAAGCTACGGTTTTGCCAAAAAAAAATGGCAAAGTTTTAAGCTTTCTTATATTTTTTTATCATACCTTGTTAAAGCATTATTTCTTTCATGTTTTAGCATGCCGGGTGTCCAATTTTTGTGGTAAGAGAGGTCAATTGATGGAGATAAAAAGAGAGGCAAGTCGGAGTGTTTAACCTTTCAAAATTAAATGAGAAAGTACAATGAAAGTATGGTGAAAGATTTTATGTCACATCACTAACTAAAGGGAGAAACTAAAAGTAATTAAACTAACCAACTTTCTTACCTTATTTGGTTCCTAAAATTCGACCATGACTCTTAAGTGAGACATATTTTTCACTTGCATGGTCATTTTAAATATACATTATAAAAAAATAAATAATGGTTAATTAAATTCCAAAAAAAGTATTCATATGAACAATTCCATAAACCTTAAATATTTTCACACCACAAACATAAAAGAAATGGCACATAATTTATGCTCACATAATCATGGATATTTCGAGAGGTATTTAGGCTCGGGAATTAAATTTCGTTATGTCGAAATAATTTTTTTTTACCCAAGCATCTTAAACTCACCAAACATAAACATAACACAAAAATCATATTTGCCCCTTAGTAGATGTAGAAAAAATTATTTTCGTACGTATAGCTACGTTAAACAAGTTCATGGGAGTTACATAAAGCAATTAATTTCTTAGGTGATATGGTTTGTAAAAAAACAAAAAGGTTAATTTTTGCCCCGTTTGCCATATGAGGATCCCCATCCCCGTTTGGGGCTGGGATGGGATGGAAAATTCCGTCCCGTTCGGGGCACGAGGCGAGAGATAGGAAAATATTTTTAGAGGTGAGGTGGGGATGAGGATGGCGATCCCTGCCCCATTCCGCCCCATTGCCATCCCTATATTAGTGCGGGTACTCAATATCCAATCTTGCTTGCATGGTTTGATCTATTGTAATGTTGTATTTTTATATATTAATAAAATAAGTTTTTTTATTAATCTTTTTTATTTATATTTTGATAGAATTAAATAGAAGTCCATATTATATGTATTGCATTAATGATTGATTAATTGATAAGAGATTAATATTGGTGTATTTAAATGATGTCATTAAATATGCCAAGTTGTAGTATCGTTAAGAATGGACATTGACTACGTGTGGTAAGACTTGTTAGTACTATGCTCGTGTTATAAGATAGCGAGTAGGAGATCTTACACCTATTAACTTGATGATGCCAAAGCAAACACTTAGGTAATTAATGTTAGAGAATATATCACTTGGATGTGACTCACCATGAGATCTCATTTGGTTTAGTCTATGAGAATCTCATACAAGATGGGTACAACTAGTCTTTTGACTTGAAGTCATCACGGTTGTCTCATTAGAGAATTTATGTACTTTGACACTCATTTCGATGGATTCGATCAAAAGTTGCATGTGGATAATTCGTTAGGTGCACTAAGAATCTAATGAAGATAGGTGGATGAGTAAAATATGATATGTCATTCCTTATATGCTTGAAAGAGTTATCACATTATACTTCGATAAATATTTGCTCAAGAAATTTATAGCCACGACAAGTGTATACCAATAGAGCATGATTGGTTTACTTTAGAGCTAAGGCATTTGTGAATTGAAAAAAACTTGTGTGGTCATAATCGAACGGACTATAAATCAAATTCGAGATCACACTTGTGACAAATTGACATGAGAATTGAATTGTATGATAATCATGCTCATGAAAGATAATTGCGGATTAATTAATCCTCCTAGAACATTGGATAGTCATGACACCTTGTTGTAGGTCAATCTTGATTTATGTATCAAGAGATAAAAGAAGTATCTTTTATTTTTATTTTTGATACATTGCCGACATATCTAAAAGCGTATTGAGTCACAAACATGAGCTTAAACATTCACATAATAAAAGAAAAGTAAAGATTTTGGAAAAAAGATTAGTAATTTTGAAAGTTTTCTATTTTGAAGAGGTTTTCGAAAATGGAAAGTTTTCACGTTTTAGAAAGTTTTCTATTTTGGAAAAAGTTTCCTAAAATAAAAAGTGTTCTATTTTAGAAATTAGTTACACACACACACACACACACACACACATATGTACGTATGTATGCATATTTATGTATGTATATATGGATGTATATATAAGTGAAGAAGAAGAGGAATTGTTATACATGTAAAACCTATGCACGAAAACCAAGTTTGCATGATTTACCAACAAAATATCTATTAAGAAGGAAAAAAAAAATAATCCATGTGTTTTATATACTTTTGTTTTTATATAATCAAATTTATTGAAATCAATTTTATAGGTATTTTTTAATTGGAAATTGATTACGCATACACACATAAAACACTTAGCGTTTACTCTTTTTTTTTTAATGGATATTTTGAAATCAATTTCTCTAAAATAAAACAATTAAAATCATGTTTGAAAAAAAAACCCCAGAAGGTAGCATATTTTTCAAATATAGTTTTTTTTTGTTAACATTATTTATTATTTTGAGTGTGTGTGTGAATCTAATATACATACTTTCACAAATTATTCTTCTCATCAATATTATAAATGTTTATATTAACTTTGAATTTTTTTATGCAATTTTTTAAAATTAATCTTTGCTTTGTTTTTTCGATGCAATCTTATTAAATAAATAATTAAATTTACACATATTTAGATTCTTATAATTGTTTATTTAAAAAACCATGGATAAAGAAAAATAAAACATGTTTTTTTAAAGAATGAAATATATTTAAAAAAATGTAAGAAATAATTAATAAAGTACAAAATCGAGTGAATTTTTTATTATTTGATTCGATATATTTTAGTATACGTACACCATGGCAATGACTATTGAGTCATAATGATTTTTATTTTACCTATTTTGTTTGATTTGTAGCGTAAAGTGAGTCAACAACTAATAGTGTTGAAATGAGAATGACGACGATGAAAATAGTTGTGAAACATTGATAATCCGAGAGATGATGAAGATACCGTTGATGGTGGTTATTGTTGTTTCTGCAGTGGTGATGGTGGAGAATTATGATGAAATTGTGATAAAATAATAGTTGCAATAGCGTCGATGACCAAGGTGAATAATTGTCGTGGGTTGATGATAAAATGATAGTTGTAATGGTATTGATGGTGGTGGTGGTTGTTGTTAAAGTAATAATGGTTGTGTTAGTAGCGGATGTTAATGTGGTCAAATTATAGTATTGGTAAATATTATGTGTAAATAATACAAAAGAAAATATTTTCTTCATCTATAGGAAATGTATATATTTTTCTTTAAACTAACACTATTCATGGGTTAGATTGCAAAATACAAGGGTAAAAAATTATCCAAATTAACATTATTCAAGAATCGATTAAAAAATATCTTTCATTAAATTTTTTTTGAGTTGCTTGCTGTACACTGAAAAATGAAAAAAAATAATTTAAATAAAATATTTTCCGGCAACGAACACACTCCAAAATGGAATGTTGTATTTTGTTGTGTAGTGCTTGATCTGGGTATTTGGAAATGGGTTTGGTCCGGCTTGGAAGTCGAGGGCATGATTTTTTGGGCCCGGAAATCTGGTTCTATAGCCGGCCAGCTTGGTGGCTACGGCCTACTGCGTTGTCCGTTTTGTATCTCTATTCCTTTCAAAAAGGAAATCTTAAGAACCTACCGCGCATTCTTTTATTTTCATTTTTTCAAAACTTTTTCTCCCCTTTCCCCATATTTTAATAATTTTATACACAAAATAAAATCATGTAAAAAATTCAGACACACAACAATTACATTAATTTAAATATAAATAAATATGAATTGTGAATAGAAAAAAAGGAATTGATGGCTTTTTTTTTCTGACCAAAAGATCGAACGCAATTATTAAAAACATTGTATATTTGTATACACCAATCACTTCAGCATTTATATGCAGTTTTAAAGAAAATAATTATATATTTTTTGGCACAATTGTCATGTTTAGCCCAAAAATTAAAGTCACTCCAGTTAAATGTTTATTTCTTTTCTTTCTTTTTTCTCAACTAAAGTGTAGCCTCTCATTTTATAAAGAGTCGCCGCACGAAATTAGAATAATAACAATAAAAAAAAAAAAAAAGTGCTACAAAACACAAGAAACAAGTAACACTTTGATCACAAACATGCAATAGCATAAAATTTCAGGTTATTATCTTATCCTCACATTTATGACTTCGTGTTCCTAATTAATCATCAAATTTCAGGCCAAACCTTGGAAGGCCCAGACCGAAAACCCCAAGCTCTTCCTCTCCCTCTCTGTCTTCATAAACCCTTTCCTCAAATTCTTCAACATTCAAGAGAGAAATCATGAATTTCCCCAAGTCCAACAACCAACAAAATTTCCCAGCATCTAAACAGCCCCCGCAAATAAACCTCCACCAAGCCTTCACCACTCTCCAAAATCACTGCTCTACCTTTCTCCAAAACCTCTCTCACCAATTCCCTCTCTTCAACCCCAACTTCCAAACCCACACAAAACAAGCAATGGACACTCTTATCTCTCGCTTCAACCCCAACCCTCCGTTGTCCTCCAAAAACCCATCTTGGGCTCGAATTCCTAACGAGCCCATTACCCAGTCAGCCGCTTACATGTCAACTGAAGCCATTGAAGAGAGACTGGCTGGCGTACCTGTGTATGCTTTAAGTAATTCCAATGAAGAATTCGTGTTGGTTTCTGGTCTTTCAACAGGGAAGTCTCTTGGGTTATTTTGTTTTAAACAGGAGGATGCTGAGGCACTTCTTGATCAAATGAAGAGCATGGACCCTGGAATGAGAAAGGGGGCTCGAAAGTAGTTCCTGTTGCGTTAAACAAGGCGAGTTTTTCCTTTCCCTGTCTTTGTTTTTGTTACTTTTCTTTTTCAATTTTTTTTTTCTTTGGGGGTGGGGGGGGGGGGGGGGATTATTATTATCTGTTTTGTGTTTTTTTTTGCTGGTTCTATTTTTTTCCCTTCTAATTCTGTGTGCTTTTGCAGGTTTTCCAGTTAAAAGTTGATGGCGTGGCATTTAGGTTGATACCGGAACCTTCCCAAGTCAAGAATGCACTTATGGTGAGTATTTCCTTTTGCAACATGAAAGCAAATTTGTTGATGAATTCACTGTGAAATTTAGGGGGAAAAGGGGGTGGGGTGGGGGGAAAGACTTGTGGTGTTTGAAATTTGATCTACTTTACTTCAGCTTGGATTCTGCTTCATGAGAAGAAAGCTGTAGTTCATGTTTTTTTTTTTTTTTTTTTTTTTTCATCTGGATTATTGTAGGGCAGTAATGTGATTGTTGGTTGATGTTACACCAAATTAATTTTTCAGCACTTTTGCAACTATATGCACGTGTGAGTGTAGCAACTAAAAACAATCAGCTTTGTTATTCCATTTCAGTATTCAAAGAGTAATAAGTTTAGAAATTAGTTTACTTAATCCCCGACCATGTATTTTTCAGTGTCTCTTGTAAACCTTAGCTACTTAAGTATATTTCTTATTTAGAAACCTTAGCTTAGTTGCCAGAAATGTTGCATCCCCTTGCACCACGATTTGGTTCACATGTCCCAGGTTGTGTTGGTCATGGAATGAATTGTTGAAATTTGCACGCCAATCTTTCATAAAAAAAGGGAAAGTACAAAAAGACAGAGAAAGATAGGAGCAGCTATTCAGTTGTTTCAAGGAGAGAGAAGAAAAAGAAAAAAGAAGAAGAGATGATGGTGAGAGAAGCGTTATCAAGAGAGGAGGCAGCCGGAGGCAAATACCTTAACCTAAAGCCTAAAACTACAAGGATTGAACTTCGATTGTATTTTGGATAAAATATTTTACCTCATGAAGCTGGAGAAATATTTTACGTAGAACTATCATCTCACAACCACTCCTAGCATCATCCCCCAATCACTTCCACTACTACCACTGCTATTGCAGATTTTGTTTCATAATCTCATCAAATCACCACAATCTTACCACTATTGCCACCACCACCACCACCTTGTCACCATTATCACTCCCCTACCACTACTATCACTATGTTATCATACCTTTCCTGCAGGCTGCAGCCACTTAGTTTCCTGTTCTTTTCCAGTAGATCCAGGGAAACTGGCTCTGGAAGAGCTTCTTACTAGTAAGGGCTGCCCACCACCATCTTACATCCAACATAATCATCACCATGAGTATCACTACCCACTTGACCATCATAACCAATTTTAAAGCATAACTTATATTCTTTATGTCATTGCTCGCCAAATATCTGAAAATATTCTCAATGTAAATCTGTTTCTAAAATATTCTCTCTACAAAATATTTTAAACAAACAAACAGACCTTCATTGAACACTTCTTTTCTATGTGCTATTCATGAAATCTATAATATCCAACTTACTTTTCACTTTTAATTTTCCTTATAAATGAGGTCTCTAAAAGCGTGTGCATCAAAATTTATTAATTTGTGCTTCTTTTGTTGTAGGAGAGGGAACGAGCTGGCTTACTTGATAATGGCTTCTCTGGGGTTCCAGTTTTCCAGGTTTTTTAGCATTTAAAAGGCCTTAACCTCTTTTCTCATAAGTGTTCGACTTCTGATATATTGATTATTTGGAGAATGATATGATGATGCATAAAACACTTGGGATTATGGCTAAGTGAATAATTCTATTGAGTAAATGAAAAATGAAGCATCTTTTGCTATGAACGTGGTTGAGGAAACCAAACCAATTTTGGGACTGCACAACTCATGCCATCCATCTGTGTATGTGGTGTACGCATTGTCTGCAGTGCTTTTTTTTCAGGGGAAGAATCCTGTAACTTACCCCATCCATATAGTGCGTGCAACTAGTTTTTTATGGTTAGCATTAGCCAAAGCAAAGCAGATTGCTCTGTGCCTAATAACTTAATTCTGTAAATATCTGATGTTTCATGGCAAGTAGCAGTAATAGTATATTTGCTGTGATTATTTAAAGCTTTATCGATTACGATTAAGCAAGCATATGATCATATTGATGGCATATTCTTCAACATGGTATATAATACACTTTATGAAGATGCATATATCGCTGGATGGTCAGTGCTTTGATTAATTAGTTGTTGATATATAGCCATTTCTTTCAGCCTTCCTCAGTTGAGACTGAAGATGTTGTTGAACTAAATTGGTGGGTGAAATATACATTTGTTTGTCAGCTTGTCATACTTAGTATGTGGGTTTGATTTTGAGATTGATAAGTGCATGGAATAACTATAATGAATATACATACTGTGTTGTGTGAGCATTCTATTGGCATCTGCATGATCATATAAATATATATTTTTTTCACCTCTGGAGTTTGGCGTCCTGTCGCTACAGAGATTTTTTCCACTCTTTCAGACCAAGCAATGGGCCTGTTTGAGGTTTGCAGAATTGAAAGTTGTAATTTGCTTGTCCTTTTATACCTTTTGTGTATGTGCTCTTTTGCGCTCTTCCTGATATCACTGCTGATTATTGATGGCACGATTCGTTCTTTTTAACTTTTGGCTGTATATAGCATTTCTTTTTGTTCCTTCAATTGTTATATAATTGTTTTTATCCTGGTGCCTTTGTGCAAAAAAATTAAATCTAGTAGATTTGCATCTGGCCAGTGCTTCGCCAAGCCTTAGAGTTGCCATGGGTTGGCTTTTGCTCTTCCTCCCCCATGGCTTATTGGAAGATTTGTGTTTTTTTTTTTGTTTTGTCATGGTCTTACCTTCGGTCATTGGACATAGAGCTTTGAAAATTTCTTCACAGACTTCTGGACTAAAAAAGTTTCATCATTTAAATGTTTGCTTTTCAGTCAAGGAGTTTGGTATTGAAAAGTCAAAACAAAAGCTATCGTCCAGTATTTTTTAGAAAGGTTTGTCAAGAGGATGGCCCTTCATATTATTTACTACTATTCTGGTTAATTGTGTAGTGGTTACAATTTTCTTGCCCTCGTTCTTGTTCTTTTATTTCTAGGAGGATTTAGAAAAATCACTATCGCGAGCTTCCCGTGAGCAGCATAAATTAAATCCTGCCTTCAGGCAGGGGGATATTGAGGTATGGATTTTTAGCTGTCTCTTGTTGAAGTGGTTCATTTTCTTTTACTCATATTATCTACTTTGTTCCGTAGGTTGCTGTTTTCGAAGAGATAATTAAGTCTATGAAGGTATGCTGCCTCAGCTAAGCGAGTAATTTTTCATTTTTATGCCGTGGGTGATCGTGTAGAATATGAGGAGCAAAGGAACACAAACAACAGATTTGCTCTGCTGTTTGGGGTGATTTCATCCATAATTGCATAACAGCAATTATTTTTGCCTGTCTTCTGGGAATAAAATAGGGAAGATTTTGAATTCTGAGGCTAAAATGACAAGAAATAAAATTTTGCAGGAGGGTTCTACTACAACCTGGGATGATGTTGTCTTTATCCCTCCTGGTCTTGATGTTTCAGCTACTCCACCCCAGCAATAGGCAGCTGCAGATTTAGGTGATGGGTTTCTTGACAGATAATTGTTGTATAGTGATACAGCCATGCATTTAGAGTTAAAATTATGCGGTTTCAAATTATGATTTTTTTTTTTGGGGTCCTCTTTCAGCTTTTCTTTTTCTCCGATTATAACTATGTTTTACAGCTTGGTGCGGACTGATGTATTCTGCTGCTTTGTGTTGAATCTAATTTGGTTGAATGAGGCATTTGGAGTTTACTGTAATGAGACTTGCAAAAAAAAAAACAAATGTGGGTATGAAAATTCGATGCATTAGAGGTAGCACTCCTCTTTTGATACTCAGGTAACCAGCCCTTTTTGAGTGAGTAACTCATTTCTACATGGGTTCATGTTTTTGTACATTCCTCTATTTTTTTAAAAAGGTTCGTTTACTATTTTATATTTTAATGTCAACGCTCTACGTTATATTTTTGTCATCATTGTATTTTTTATTCAGTTTGATGTTCATACGCGCTATGCTCTTGCAGCATGAAATTTTTATTTATGTACATTTTAGTCCTTATTTTTTTAAAAAATCACTTTGATCATTGTATTTATTTTTATTATAAACAAGTCCTTAATTGAAACTGTATTTTCACAGTGAATACAATTTAGTTCCTAAAATGTTTTTTCTAAAAAATATTTTTATTTTTATTTTGATGTTGTTTTCTCATATAATCATAGATATATTATTTTTATTTTCTATAATATCAGATATAGAATCTATTATGATTTTTCTTATTTATCTCGATTTTTTATATTAAAATCAAGGAAATATTTTTTTTAAAATCAAATAAATGTATAATATTATGTAAAACAATTTTTTCAAAAAACTGGTGATACCTATTTAAATTTGCTTCGTACTTTATCCATCAACTCATTTAAACTTTTGATCAAGTTTATGATTTGACGTGCAGGGGTTTAATTGAAAAATATTAAATTAGAGACTAAATTAAATTTACTCTAAAATATGATAACAAAAAATTTCAATTAAGGGCTTATTTGTAAGAAAATAAAATGCAGTGACCAAAATATTTTTTTGAAAATTTTCAGGTATAAAAAATTTACATCAACGAAAATTTTGTGCTGTACGAGGGTGATAAGTGTCAATCTTTAACAGCCTTATTAAGGAAACTGATCGAAAGATTTTGATAATAACGAAAATATAAAGTTGATACTAAGATAGAAAATAGTAAGAATAGAGGGATGTACCAAAGCATTGACCAATTTTATATGGTTATGAGGATTTGAGGATGGGAGCTGATTATAAGTGGGGATGGTGGCAGCCAAAACTTGAGATCTTAATCTCATTCCAGAAATGTGAGAATACTGCACGGGCGCTCTCTCACGAGGAGCAATAAGGGGACTTTTGGTCAAAGGGAAAATGCCATCTTAATATCTTATTCTTAAGGAGCATTACGGGAGCTTCGGGCAGGTTTACATCGGACTTCACTTTGATCCCTATCCAAATGCCGTACCTCGATGGGGCATGGTCACCACTCTGAGATTCCTCTTCTAGACCTGATATGGAAACAATTGTAAAGCTCCACAATCCAGCTTCCAGGTTACATGCCAGATAAGATGGGAGTTTCTCGTGGCTAGGGATGGCAATGCGACGTATATAAAGTAAGTCTGGTTTATTAAATTCAATAAATACTTATTAAAAATATCCAATGATTATTGAAATAGATAAAAACAAAAAAAATATATCCATTAATATGTTTTCATGATACGAATATTCATTCTTTATCTTATTAATATCAATTTATTTATTTTAATTTTTTAATATATAAGGATCTAATTGCACAAAAAATAAAAATTAAAGATCGAAATATTTTTTTCAAAAACTTCGAGGATAAAAAACTTATAAAGAAATAAACAAAATATAAAAACATAATTTTTATGGACCAAAATATTTTTAAAAAAATTACAAGAATTAAAATGAATAAATTTTGATTAACTATATAGTCGTTATTAAATGGATCAGATAAACTAATATAAATCGAGAATGGATAGGATACAAATTTATATGATAATTTTTTAATGAATAATAAATAATACATTTTTCTTATGAATATAATAAAAAAATTAAATTAATTAGCCGGTTATCCGTAGATGGCCATCCCTGCTATTGGCTTGGCTTTGCCTTAATCCTCCGTGTTCGCCATTCTTTTCCAACTTCGACGTAGAATCTTCTCTTTGCAAGAAGAAAATTGATGTTATGTAATTCGTGTGGCTTATGGCCCATGCATGACCCGATTCACCCTAGCAATTAAATACAACTCTTTGTAAGTATTTGCTTCTCAAGTATAACCATTTTTGGAGTTGATTGAGGAACGATATGGGGTATCCCGTCCTGTATTTATTTTGAATAGAAATAAGATGGAGATGATATTTATCTGTTTTTCTCTATTCTTGAAATTATAATTATACTCTATATAAAATTTGTGATTTCTAATTTTTGGGATTTATTTTCTATATAAACTATTATTTTTTTGCTATATTCTGAAATTTAATAATAGAATAGAACAAGATGAGACAAAAATAAAAAATTAAATGAAATATCGGTGTTTTGAGAGGATCCTCATCCTTATTTGAGCTGGGGATGATACGAGAAATGTTATCCTATGCGGGGCATGGGGAAAATACAAGGTAAAATTTTTAGGCCTCCTCCGCCTTAGTCCTGCCCTATTGTCATTCCTACTCATGTGGCTGTCAATGAGAAACTCAATCACGCCGTTGAATTGAATGATTTTACATTGTTTAGACTAAGATTGGTCAATCTAACTTAAGAAACAAGAAAGATTACAACAAATTTCCTGAGCAATCAGTGTGATTTATCTTAAATCTTATTGCATCCGCCTGTTCCATTCTTATTATCATTGTGTTTGTGAGGTAAAGGAGCTCCATCTGCTAAATAAAACAAAGAAAACTTCATGTTTTCAGGATTTATTGTTTACGCATTCAAAAAGTTCTAGACAAAACTCATACCATACTAACTAGTTTGAAAAAAACAATAAATAAATAAAAAACAAAACATGGTGGGCACATTTCCAGTTCAATGCAAGACACCTGTATTCATTCTATTGGATCATGTACCAAGTTCAAAGCAAGGGAATGGATTCAAGGGATAACAACAAAGTAGGCAAGGAGTGCTGGGACAGGTTATACATAGATATATATGGGGGAGATTTGTTCGCGCAGTAATTTTTTATTCTATCCATATAGCAAGGGATATTATCATCTCAGATTCCTGCATAGGTTTGATATATATATATATACACCATTTGAACTGGGCATAAACCTCCAAAATCCAGCTTTCAGCTACCAACTCATGACATGGGAACCTTTTGTGTCTAACTAGCTACCCATACTGTCATAATTCTTGGGGCTCCCTACTCTCTTCCTGGAAGTGATGTGACAGGATTCTTGTGCCCTACGGCCGACGTTTCTTTTTAAAATCGCAATTGCTTGGGCCACACATTTTCTCTCCAACTCATAATTTGTACCATTTTGGACGAGCTTCAAATCAAATTAACAGGAAAAATTAGCTCAAGAAAATTATGAAAAACACAATACCACCTTCTGGTAAAATATCCGTTTAACACAACGCAAATTATCATCAGGAGTAGCTAGCTTAATGAGTAGTTCAATTCGAACTTAAAAACCGACTAAATTTAGCGCAAGTGATTAAAACTTGCTGGTAGAAGATAAACAAAATACATACATACATACATACATATATATATATATATATATATATATATATATATATATATATATAATAATATAGGCCCTACCAAGTTTTAGAATCTTTAGATAGCTTGTAAATTTCTACATATTGATATCTGTCGAAGCATGAAATTGTTCAAAATAATAATGATAATAGTGAGGTCACTCTTCGTCGATTCAAGTATATATTAGTGTGATTAATTAACCCAACTAGTACGAAAGAATTTGTTTTCAACACCTGAAAAATCCACATATATCATACATGTAAATTAACAAGAAAAAAAAACAGGAAGAAGAAGAAGAAAATCAAACTTATAATTAAAGAAATAGAACTGGCTGGTGGTTGGCAATATATGAATTGGGAAGTCTTCTTCGTTTATCACCATCAACTATCAATTTATTAAGAGGGGGCCTGTTTTTTAGCTGTCCTGTTTTCAAAGTTTCCTTCAAACAATTATCTTGACAAACTCTTTGATGAGCTGGTTGGTCCTTTCTATCTACAACTTAATCTCCGTCTTATTTTCACCAGCAGTAGTCTCTTCAAATATTTTCTTATTCATCGTTTTAAATTATCTTTTATTTTTTATTTGTATTTTTGTATCCATAGATATAATCTCCTGTTGATTATTTGTTCTTCTCGTTTGTCGAGGATTTTCTCGTGTTGAATAAAGATTGTTTATAGTTGAATGAAAGAAATTAATATTAATATTGATCAACGAGACTTGATAGTATGGTCTGCTTCGTATGTATGGTGTTTCAAACTCATTTGTGATACGTTCAATCTATTCTTACATAGATAGTCTATATTTGAAATTTAAAAAGATTTTATTTGTCGTCTAAATTTGTTGCTCGAAAAACTATGTTACATTGGTGGTATTATCAATTATTTTTTCAGACAACAAATTATAATTTCTCTAAATGTAATATAAAAATAGTGATATATTTGTATTTTATTTAGTATAGTGAAATTGTTATTTCCTTCTTTTTTTTTTTTAAATGATTATTTTTCGTGTACCTTTCCAACCCCAGATTTAGGATTTAACATGAAAAGTTGGAAACATTAATATTTCTCCAGTAATGGCATGGGATCCACATCCCTTTCATTGATTTTGGTCTGATCCAAATATGCACAGCTGGCTGTATTCACCTTGTCCTTTTCCATTTTATGAGTAGAGGTTAGCAACCGATTTAATATTTTCTCCCATAAACATCTTGGAAAGCTGTTAGTTGTTACAACAAATTTATAAAAGTTTTTAATTTACCCAAAAAAACAAAGCACTTGGCGAATTAAGTTGTTATAATAAATTAAAGGACATGAAATGGTTAAAGTCCTTTCTTCTTTGTCCCATTTTGTTTTGTGATAAGGGCTGGTTGCTAAATGTTTAAAACTGTGGCCCCTTTTGTCTTTTTCTTTTTTTTTAAAAAAAAAAAAAGAAAAAGAAAAAGAAAAAAGAAAAAGGAAAAAGTGGCTCCTTCATGTCAAGGATAGAAAGGCCCTTCGTTTGGCTGCTTTACCATACTTCTTCTGTATGATAAGACGGTGGCGCTTTCTTAAGCAATTCAGCCATTTTAGTTTACAGCATGATTAGATTGATCGTATATCATGTTTAACGTAGCAGTACTGGTATTTGCAATAATAGTAAATAATGTTTGTTTGATTGTGGCTGGTGGCTGGTGTCGTTGGTTCCTCTTCTTACATTTACCTAGCTGGGTGGGTTAGCGAATAATTCTTCCAACCCACAAAGTCTTAATATTTTTGAAAATCTCCTCTAATCTTTTATAAATTTTCAAAATAGCTATGTGGAAATGGCTCCAGTAATTAAAATTGAAATTTTAAACTATAGCCTTTCAGAAACAAAAGTCTGGATTCGTTCCTGCATAGGCTGGTTATATATTATGATTGTTTGTGTTACGAAAAAAGTTAATCCATCAATTTTTTTTATATATATTAATTATATTTATTCTTTGTTTTAAGTTGTATCCTTGTTTTGCAATTTGGGTTGGAATTTTCAAATTGAAAAAATACCATCGCATGACCATTTCCTATTTCTTGGCTTACTTTATATGCTAAAAGTTTCAACCTCTGTTTACTAAATTTTCTATAAAACTAGAGTACTACTCCACCACTTAATAGAATATGCTAGTTATTTAATAAATTTATTTGGATATATTTGAGATCAAATTGTTAATTATTCTTAAAAATAATCCATCACTTAAAAAAAAATTTAAAAATTTACATTTTTTTCATAGTGTGAGTGGGAAACAAATAGATCGAGAATGTGTTGATAGTACGGTGAAGGTGATGGTGGTGGTGATCAAGCTAAGTTCCAGAATGAATAGGATGTTTCCTTGTTTCCATAACAATGATGTTTTTTTTTTTAAGGTTTTTGCTTCAGCTTGGAGGTCATAGGATACATAGGATAGGAATCACGCGTCTGCTGTGATATATTATTATTATTATTATATTCCAACTTGAAACGAATATCTTTCAAAATTCAAAGGAGCCCACCATTCATGAATAATGTGGATGTTGGCCCTACCCAAACCAACTTACCACTTTAGCACCGCCGCTACGCTTACGGGCAACGCAGGTTAGTAACAATAATAAAGCCATGAATAATTATAATTATATTGTTTTTTTTTCCAAAAGATATTTTCATGTAATTTTACGTATTAATCAAAATTATTTTTTACATCAATCTGGTTCGTGGAGATGAATTTAATAGATTGTTCTCAAATTTTAAATTCAAAAAATTAACAAATTGAGCAAATCGATCTACGTACTTAATCATTTTACTCTACTATTAATCAATCACTTTTCGAAATTAATTGCACATTTGTATGTATAGCAAGTAAATCCCATGCAAATCAAACAATTCTTCACTCACTAACGTGCCCCGTATATATTTCTCCGACCGTATATAGCTTGTGGGGTTCTCGTTATCTTAATTTGCAGTTTGCATAGCCACCAAATTAAGGGTGATGGATGTTAATATTCATAGCAACCACTGCAACAATAATTTTCATGATACCATCAACCCTATAACTTCTAATTAATTATATGGAAGCTGTGGTCTTTAGTTGTTGATCGTCAGATCCAATTAATGAGCTAAGATTAGTATCCAGTTGTTGAGTTGCCGCACAAACTCCAGTAATTAAAAATTTATCGAAACTTATATACAGTTATTATTGGACGTAGAATTATAGTAAATTAATTAAAGATTTTGTGAAAAAAAAATTATGACAATATATATGCTCATGTGAATCAATCCAATCAATGAATTTTTTTATATGTTGGATGGGATAAAATATTAACAAACGCGAATTTAAATGTAATCGTGAAAGAATCAGGCAAAAGTAATACGTTAGTTGAATATACTCAACTAGCAGCTTAAAGAGTTTCACAAGATCTTAATTTGCTGGAGCATTTCTTTAATTATTTTTTTATTAAACTGTTTTGTCGCATATGCGCCGACCTCTTTTGTTTAGGTTAATGCTAACCTTATTTTAGATTTGTAATTCCATGATTCCTTTTAATTCACTTTTCTTGTGAGAGAAGAATAAGTGGAATGCCATGGTAGTTCTTGGTTTTTTTTATAGCTAATTAATCATTAACACCATTAATAATTCTTAGTAGTTAGTTGCATCCAGCAGTGAGGCAATAACGCAATCTCCCATTTACGTCCGAATGTTCCCCATGGAGCTTTATTAGCACTGTGTATATTATGAATATTGTGAAATGGTTAAGCATAAGTACTATCCGATCCAGATTGTTTTGATGCTTAAAAAGATATATTTCATCCTTAATTATTAGGATTCAAATATTTTATCGGATATTAAAAAATAAAAATAAAAATTTCATGAATCTTTTTCAAATAAAAATTTAATATCAAAATTTCTAAATTATCCGTTAGGACGCTCACTATTCGAAATTTAATATTTTAAACTCTATCCGTTATTTTATTTTTATTTTTTTAACCTTTTTGAGTATATAATTAGATTATATATATATATATATATATATATATATATATATATATATATATATATATATATATATATATATATATATCAACAATAACTAAAATAACATGACAAGAAATAGTTTCAAAAAAAAAAAAAAACATGACAAGAAATTCTATAGTGTTGTTTTCCCAATAACTCACGGGCTTCAGCTCTCACATTAATTAATTATACAATACAAATGACATCCATGGACCAGCTCTCGCTCCTCTTAAATTTCTACTCGAATTTGAATTTGAAATTTTGACATTAAGATTACATATCCTTAAATTTTCTCTCGGTTACTCATAATACATACATGTGAGAGTATTGAAGAGATGATAATAAAAGCATTTCGATGTCAACTTTTTCACATTTCGAAACTAATTTTTATCTAGATATAATTAAGAAATAGTCTTTAACATACGACATCATATATTTTAAAAATAAATTATAAAAAATACTGATCATAAAAATCGAGAATCTCACTTACAAGTCTATACTTATTTATCAATAAATTATCATCTTTTATATATATATATATATATATATACACACACACGATAAATTGAATCATTAGTAGAAACTTTATGGAAAGACACAGAAAAGGATGAGAGTTTAAAGCTTTGGAAGAGCTTAGAACATAAATACTATGACGTTGGAGTTGAATACAAGTTTGCATGGCACGGTATCAGCTTGAAAGCTAATCCATGATGTGTATAGACGAGAAGTTTCATTTTTTTGGTTACATATATAAGTCCATTTTCAACCTACAAAAGAAATTAGAAATAAGAGAGCTAGGCCTACAATCAAGACACAGCAATTACAAGCCAAAAGACCACATCTCCAAGCATAAGAACATACGTAAATGAAATGTGCAATATACACTTTAGTATTTTTAGGATCCATCTGTCTGGTATTGCAAGTAAATTTCGATTGAAATACGAATTTTTTAATTTAATCATATTTTTTTCTGCATTATTAAACGCACCTTATCGCATTCCTCTGCCGCCATTACAAACACAACACCCACAAGCGCCCCCCGCCCCCCCCTCCCCAACACACACACACACACACACACAAAATACACTGTATAGATCCATAGTCAATATTTACTTATTTAGTCTATTAAACGCTGTCGTTTGGTATTAACATAAATCCAACCTTAAACTGATATGGTCGCAGAGGTAGAAAGTAGAAGGTGGCTTAGATTATATCCTGCTACGTGAAAACATAAATCCAACCTTAAACTGATGTGGTCGCAGAAGTAGAAAGTAGAAGGTGGCTTAGATTTTATCCTGCTACGTGGCAAGATCCGAATGGGCAAGTGATAGTGGTCCAAATGAGAACAATTCCACTTTATTCTCCCATACCATACCCCGTTGTCATCCACCACCAATTTTTTCTAATCATAGCCAAACGACCCTACGCCTTGTAAATAAGGAACAAAATCATTGCACATTATTTTTTTTATTTTGGTTTATTGTTAAGGTTTTTCCGGATCAATTTTTATTATATTAAAATCAAATTTAATTAATTTCTGATTCAGTTAAAACTCAAACTTTTAATACCTCAGGACAAGAAAAATAGGAACAAATTCACCTAAAAGGTTACGGTTTAGGTTTCAATTTTTATGGTTAAGAAAGAAGCATACCCAACAATTAATTAGTTGCTATTTTTAAGTTAAGTCAGTGTATAGGGTTTTAATGGTAAGAGCCAAAAAAAAAAATAAAGTACCCAAAATGTCAAAATGCTTAAAAACAAAAGCTTCCAGCTTGGATTGTGTGCTAAGCTGGCACCAGCTTTGGGTCCTTAGCACCTCCAGTTATTGCTCACGCGTCCCCCACCTCCCCCATACTCATCTCTTCTTCTCTCTCACAACTATAATTCCTTTCTCTCTATATATATAGCTCCCCACATAAACCCTATCATCACAACATTCACATCAAACACATCTTTCCTTTCTTTTCCCTCTCTCTCTCTCTCGATATAGCAAAAAATGGGGTTGTTTTGTAATGGGTTCTCTTTGTTTGCAGTAGTGTGCTCTATGGTTGTGGTTGCTTCAGGTAGCTTCTATCAGGATTTTGACTTAACATGGGGTGACCGACGTGCAAAGATATTCAACGGAGGACAGCTTCTTTCTTTGTCTCTAGACAAGGTTTCTGGGTCTGGATTTCAGTCCAAGAAGGAATACCTGTTTGGGAGGATTGACATGCAGCTCAAACTTGTTGCTGGAAATTCTGCTGGCACTGTTACAGCCTACTATGTACGTATATGATCATTAAAAAAAAAAAAAAAAGGATAGATAGATAGCTTAATTTCATTATAGTTTAATTCAAAATATATACCATAAATAAACTACGTACACCATAGTCACTTTCAAACTAGAATGAATTTGAAAGTAACTCCATATAAAATAGAATTAATTGCCCCTGTCTAAAAGGTGATCACGGGAATGATTACTACTCTGCCCAACTTGTGACATGGTTTCGTGTGGCGTGGGAAAAGAAAAAACTTTCAAAACTGTTGTTAACATTGAATTATGTTGGGGGCCAAATCAAAAGTATTAACCTTGTGCCAGAAACTTATTTAAATAACCGGTTTATTCTATATCAAATCGGGATCAAATTGAAAAGATTATCATTATTAATTTATAATTTCCTTTATATTCAAGGTCTAACTAGTTGTCATTTATTTGTTTTTTCTTTTATTTTTTCATGCAGTTGTCTTCTCAAGGACCAACACATGACGAGATTGACTTCGAGTTCTTGGGAAACGTTAGTGGTGACCCTTATATTTTGCACACAAATGTGTTCACGCAGGGGAAGGGAAACAGAGAGCAGCAATTCTATCTCTGGTTTGACCCCACAAGAAACTTCCACACTTACTCCATCATCTGGAACCCCCAGCGCATCATGTAATTAATTGCTACTTCTATAGCTATAGCTACTGATCTTGAATTAATCAAAACCCTAATTCTAATAATGTCTAGTTTGAAAAGTTGCTAGAGTTTCTAACACAATATTTCTCATCGTCTCTTCTTTCAGCTTCTTGGTGGACAATACTCCTATAAGGGTGTTCAAAAATGCTGAATCAATTGGAGTTCCTTTCCCCAAGAGCCAACCTATGAGGATTTACTCTAGCCTTTGGAATGCTGATGACTGGGCTACAAGAGGTGGATTGGTCAAAACTGACTGGACTAAGGCACCCTTTACAGCATACTACAGAAACTTCAAAGCCAATGCCTGTACGTGGGCTTATGGTACTTCTTCTTGTGGTTCTAAGTCTTCTAGTTCTTTCTCTGATAGTGCATGGCAAACCAATGCCCTTGATGCTCCAAGCAGAAGAAGGCTGAGATGGGTTCAGAGATATTTCATGATCTATAACTACTGCACTGACCTAAAACGCTTCCCTCAAGGCCCCCCTCCTGAGTGCAAATAGATTCGTGGATGCAGCCTTTCTTGAAATTTTCTGATATTGAAGCCCATGGTTGAAGATTCTTTGCATATACCCCTGTAACTCCAAGTTACACTTGGCTTGATATTCAGGGGCCAAAATAAAATCCAATTCTTTGTTTCTTGTGTTTTTAGTACTTACTTTTGTCGGGTTGCTGATGGTTGTAAATTCTACGTTCTCCAGATAATAAAGTTTATCGTTTGAGATTAGTTTTTCTAAATCAGTGATTCTATATGAAGGATTATAATAATTATCAGTATTTTTTTCGAATTTTATTTCATCTGAGATCATTAATTGTTGATGAAAGTAAAGGTTTCTGTCGTGTGGTCCAATTTTAATCCAATTGATTAATTTTATTGATAGTCATGCAAATTGCAGACAAGAAGCCAAAAAAAAAATCAGGTTTTAAGGGTCATATAGCCCAGATTCAATCTTTCCAAGCTTGAACTATTAAATAAAAAAATATTTAAAATAAAATAAGAAAAAAATTGCAATGAAGCACATAGTTTAGCACTTTTTCTTTGTGTTGCCCTAGACATGTATTGTTGATGGACTAAAAAAATCCAACTTTTGAAATCGATAAAAAATTAAACTTGATCCAACAATGACCTAGTGCAGAAAATAATGGATTTAATCTTAATTAAAGAGTAATCCAATTTGAAAATATTGCAGTCTATAAATAAAAAATTAAAGAGAGAGAGAGAGAGAGTACATAATCTAGCACCTTGTACAAAATAAAACCATACTTGCGTAATGGAGGTACAAATCAAAGCTTGCTTATTATTACAATCAGAGATGCGTGGGCATTTTTTTGTCACATAATTATTTGATATTGAATTAAAGATCAAATAGTACTCAATTCTTACTTTAATTTTCCCAGCTGTGGCTAGAATACCCTGCTAGCTTAACACTTGATAGTGTGCTAGAAGGGAATTGCCCGGCGTGGCTGGATAAGAACAGTACAGGAAATTATTAAGAACTTTTGTCAGAACAGGATGTTGCTGAACAAGAAGAGAAAGAGATAGATGAAATTATTTCCTGTTCCAGGGAAAAGCATCTCAATTAGACATATATGCCTCTCCAACATTATCTTGTTTCATTGATAATAGCACCTCTGCAATCATTCAATGCACCAGTCACCAGTATCTCAGTTCTGCAGCTTTTCTGTCATCTAGAATTAGATACAGCAACTATTAGTAATGGCCAAACTGACATACGCATCTCTTCTACAACCCTCTGATGGTATCGATTGCATTTGTTGATTATTTAATCTTGTAGAAATTGGAATCGCTTTGTCACAATAATCTACTGTAGATATCACGGAAAGTTTTGGCTTGGCTGCACTTAATTATGAACTTATTTTACGAGGAATAAATTTTTCCTTTTTTCTTTTGCCTATATTGTTGCTTAATTTAATCCTAGGAGTAGATTTATTAGCAGCTGATAAGTGCAACCAATCCACTAATCTAGGAAGAATTTGTTAGTTCATACCAGGAAATGAAATTAATATGTCAAACTCAAAAGGCTAGAACATCATACTCACAGTAAATCTGACACTTTTCTAGGCCACGAGGCCTCAAATTTAGGTCCGAGGGGCACGAACTTATGCCTAAGAGTCTTCAGATTTTGACATCTTTTCTCTTAGCTACTTTCCGAAATCTTTTTCCTAAAAAGTTTCTGTTATAAGTTCGGCAGCCAGTGTCTAAATCCTTGCTACACTCAGGTGTTGTCTGGTAAAATTGAAAACTAAGTACTGAATTTTAAATGCTGAATCAGTTAAATACTGAATATGTTCACGACAAGTTGTTTAGTATTTAATGAAAATTAAATACTAAATATAATAAGCATGTTTGAAGATGATAGAATATATATGATATTTTTTAAGATTTTAGTTTCAACATATACATCTGATCATATTACTCTTATTGTTTAAATTTTATTTTTTTCAATTATTTTTTTCTTACTAAAATTCTCATCAAATTAATTTTTAATATAATTTTATTTGTTAATAAATTTTATTTTTTAATATATAAATTTTGGAATAAAATTTTATAACGTCGATGTTTTATTTTTTTAAAAAATATTGTTATAATTTATATAATGAATTATTTTTATGCTTTTCAAATAAGTATTTTATTTTTTAAAATATATTATTATAAATTCTGATATATATATATATATATATATATAAAATATGTTTTAAATAGTTTGACTTAATCGGATAAGTTAAAAATTTTAACTTATCCGATTAAATAGATTTTAACTGAACTTAAAATTTTAA